CTATAAAGAGGCTTCTGTAGGATATGAATGAATATAACCATGAAGAGATGAAAATGTTTTTTGATGCACATTTGGGAGAGCCTGTTCAATCACCTCCAGAGATCCATGTGGTTTCACCTTCTATTGTGGGTGTACCATCTGTGGGGGGGGGGTATGCCATTTGTGATTGGTGCACAATCTGTTGCTGATGTATCATGAACTCAAGCATCCTTCCATGTTGCTCTCCCTCAAGGAGATTCAAACATGGGTGTTCTTTTAAGTCATTTATGGCATGAAAACTAAGTAATTATGAACGAAGACATGATCTAAAGTTGACTATGAAGTGGATCACCGAAACTAATCGAGTTCATATGGATAGTGGTTGTCATGATGACCAGAAAGGATCTATGTTTATCAAGTGCATAAGGGTGAAGCCCTTATTGGGTGGGAAAGAGTATGTAAAACTTTGGGAGATAATACGGAAGCTAATATTTCTTGGGAAGAGTTTGTCAACCGCATCAAGAAAAATTATTGTGCTCCTTATGACATTGAGAAGTTGGTGGATGAGCTCTTTGACTTGAAGAATGGAGAGTTGACAGTGGAGCAATATGCGAAGGAGTTCTCTAATAGGATGCTATGTATAAGGGGTATTCTTCTGACCGAAATGGGTCGCATTAGTCATTTGGTGAAGGTTTTACTCGCTGATTATGAATTGGAAGTGAAGAAAGATGATACTTTGGATGTTGCGATAATGGTTGCTTCCAACATTGACGTTACAATTGCCAATTTTAGGTTAGTTATAACTCCTATGACTAAGCAATCTTATGTTTAAATATATATGTACTAGACTTAAGGGATTACGATGCTAATAAAGTGTACAAGCTTAGAGATGCGTTTGGAATCTCATGAAAATCTCCGATATGTGAACCGTCGTTAAACAAACACAAACGTTAGTCATTATATATAGGTAGTATTTGGATATATATATATATATATATATATATATATATATATATATATATATATATATATATATTACAAGGATTATTACATATATATGAAAGGCTAAACAAAGGGTTAACTAGAGAATATTGAATTGAAAACAATACCTATTTGTAGTCGTAATTACAAATTTAACATGAAGTCGTATTATATATCAGCTATATACTACAATTCGCAATTTTGAATTGATTCTTGTATATAATAACCATTTATTTAATCCCTTCAAAACATAAACTCTTCTTTAAATATCAAACTAGTTCACTAGAAAGGCCCTCATTATATACCGTCTAATGTATACAAAAGTCAAGACCATAAAGTGAAGGAGTAACAGTTTTATTACAAGCATTATTTAAAGTATTAAACAAATCTAAAGCAATCCAACCCTATGCCTATGGATTTTCGGCCATTATGCTATGTATACTAAAATTGAAGTGTCTTTTTCTTTACCCACAATTAACTAATTAGAAACAAACCAATTCTTTACTCGAAGTGTACAAAAGGTTTGTACACAACCTTAAAATCATGCCATAAGATATTTCACTAGTTTTGGTGCCCTTTATTATGATTTCCAAGAAAAAATAATTCTCAATATGTTGGAAAATATTATTTTCATAAAATAATGTTTTCCCAAATAAACATAAGTGTTGATATTATTTATTAATAAACAAGGTGTAATAATAAATAATAAAATAGTAGTAACTTTCTATAAAGTGTGACCATATAGGATCATATGTTATCAGCAATATCACTCAATAATGACTCTTGGGCAAACAAGATATTTGAATCTTCTACATGCACAAGACTCATCATAGATTGATATAGACAATATTTCACTTCCCCCAATAACACACAACGAAGAATGTCGTTCATCAATATCCAATTCCCAAAAGCTCAAAGCTTGAATTGATGTGTAAGGTAAATTTATTAGTTATCTCTTTGTTACAGACATTCTATTGAACATGAGACTTAGATCGTAATCAATATTATTTTGGACTTGAACTTTGGGTAACATGTGTTAGATGTCTAACTCTCAACACATAAGAGGAACAAATCCCACCATGACTACATAACCTCTTGCGTAGTTCACATCATACTTGGAAATGGCTTTTATAATTGGTAGTTTAAGGATCAATATTTGACCATATCTAAGCACAACACTTCCTATACTTAAGTACCATTATGTATCTCATGTGTTAAGGATACAAATATATTACCTTTTAGTCAAGTATCATTCAAAACAATGATCTATGAGGTGAACTTGATGGGGTTTGTTCAGTACCATTTCTATGACAAGTACCTATGAATACTGGTTATGAGCACTTTCCTAATTTCATCCACTGAGAGTCAACCAATCCAATTCATATTAGTATTACTTCATAGTTTCTCCCACAATTATAACCTACGATAAACTTTTAGAATAATGATATTATTCATGGATTAAATATATTAATATGGAACACAACAAGTATTGATTTGATGATCATATCCTAATATATCAAATGAATATAATAGTTGTTGTCCTATAGCTGAGGTGTGACCATTCATACTTAGCTTAAAAGGAAGTACTTTATTAATGGTTCCAACTAAATTTAATTTGTGTAAATTCTGTGAATACTATCATCTCGATATTTTACAGTACTCTAAGTATTGTTAAATATCTTTGAGAATATGATTGGTGTTCTAATGTGACATAAAGTCTCTTAGGGGCTGTTTGGCAGGATCTGAATTTTTAAGATCTGAATTATTAAGAGATCTGAATTTCTAAGAGGGTCTGAAATTTTAAGAGCTGAATGTTTAACATGCTATTTGGTTGGGACCTCTAAATTGCTGTGCTGAATTATTAAAATGACCATTTTACCCTTCTGTTTTATATTTTATTGAATTCAACTATTTGTTTAGAAAATAACCTAATAAATTTCTTAAATACGTATTAATAAAAATATAAACACCATATAAAATCCAAATTTAGCATAAATCAAAATTAAACACAAATCCAAATCAAACATACATATTTTTAAATCCACAAAATCATACTAAAATCTAAATAAAATCCTACAAATTTAATTTTACCCCAATTCATTCGCAATTTGGTCACGAAAATTATCCATGTATTCATTGCCTTGTGAACCCCATTCCATATCGTGTATGTTTTGGCCATCATTCTCTCCCCCTTGTGCTTGAGCATTGTTCTCCTCGAACACCATAAATAACTTATCATGAATATCGCATTTCCTTATGAAATTGTGGACTGCAAAACAAGAAACGACTATATCTCTTTGCACTGAAAAAAGAAAAGGATCCATTCGCTTTAGGATTGGGAATCTCGCCTTCAAAACACCGTAAGCACGTTTAATAACATTTTTGAGTTGCGCATGTGCATGATTGAATTTTTCTTCCTTAGTTAACGCAAGTCGCCGTCGATAATTGGGTAACCAATACCTCGTGTTGCGGTTAGGAGTCATAAATCCACGAGTGTTGGTGTATGCAACATCGGAAAGGTAATATTTATCTTTACACATGAGTGAAGGAAGTATTATATATAGAAATTTAAAATCGTATCTTAGAATAAATTTAAAAAGAATTACAAACCTGGAGGAAGGAACGGAAAACCTGAAGTCGGGTTACATGCAACTTCTTTCAAAACTCGCGAATCATGTGTTATACCCTCCCAATCGGCCCATATGAATTTTAATATCATATCAAAATCACAAATTCCTAAAACATTTTTAAAGCATTCACCTTCTCCTCTTCCTCTGTAGCGAGGTTGTTGATCAACAGGCACGACTGCATGTACAAGAGTTCCATCTAACGCACCTGTTGCTCCAGGAAAGATTTCTTTTAGTCCCTGACATTTTTTTGTGCATATTTTACCCTTGAACTTGTTGTTGTGTATAGATTAATTCCTTATTACCGGTTCATGCCATATTTGCTGGCATGGCTGCCTATGTGGACACTCATTAAAAGTAAACACTCCTAAGTGGATCATCTCTGAGTTCCATTGATTATAATACGATGCGTAGCCCTAACTTGACTCAAAAAACATTTCGAACCCATACCAAAAATCGAAGAAGAAGATGTCGACTCCCAGTTCATCTGGATCCATCGCAAAGAAAGAGGAGCTTTGTGATTGTCGACTCCCAGTTCGAATATGCACATCCAACACTAAAGACAACCCTAACAAAAAGTTCAAAGTTTGCCCCAATTCTCTGGTATGTCGATCTTGATTTCCCTCTGTACTTTTGATTTTCCTTCTAATAAATAAAGATTTTGAGCTTCTTACCATCTTTATATTTCATTTCGAAGAAACCAGGTAAGAAGTGTAAGTATTGGGAATGGATTGATGAACCTGTGACTGGGAATCCGGATTTAGAACAAGAACTTGAAGCAGTTAAAGAGGATGTTGCATGTTTGAAGAAAGAAGTTCAAGAGCTGAAGAATAAAGCACATAGTTATAGGGTAGAAATCAGTTGTAATATTATCTGAAAACAGTTGAATAGAGTTTGGTATAATGTATTGAATTGTGTTAGTTTGAATGTAGGGATTGAATGGTTTATATGTAATGTATTGAATGGTTTCTATTGAATGTATTGAATGGAGTTTGCATATTGAATGAAGTGTTACATGGTACACATTTGATTGTAATTTACATTGAATTTGGCTGCAATTTCAACAACCAAAAGACAAGGACAATGATAATTGAATTTGTCTGCAATTTCAACAACCAAAAGACAAGGACATTGATAGAAGAAAATATGATTCCCAATAGACAATTGACATATGATTCCCATTATAACCTTCTTAATAAACTAATGCATTAATACCAATAAGGTTTGAAAAAGACAAAACACAATTGACATAGGATACCATATCCGATTCCATTACTTAAAGGCCATCAAAAGTTGACAGGTTACAAGCAAGGGTAGTAATGTCAATTACATCAAAAGTTGGGCCAATTAACAAAAGAAATTCACAGTGTACTATTACATACTTCCAAAGCAAAAGAAATAAAGTAACCCTAATCACTCTAAAGTAATTGCGTTGTCCTCAGTCACTCCTTTGCCATCCTTTCGAAAAACCTGCTTCCTAATTTGTATCTTGTTGATTCTCTCTAAAGGCTTCCTTGCTCTAACACCAAGGCTCTTAGGCACTCTAACACCAAGATTCACAGGCACTTGGTTAACAGGTATTGGATTCACAGGATATTGGTTGATATGTACTTCATTCACAGGAACTTGATTCACATGATCTTCATTCACATGCTCTTGATTCACAGGGACATTCTCTTGAATGAAAAGCTCTTGATTCACAGGGACATGCTCTTGAATGACAAGCTCCTGATTCACAGGGACATGCTCTTGAGTCAAAGTATCTTGATTGACATGTGTTGGAGCACTTGGAGCTGGAGTGCTTGGACCTGCTTGTGAAGGACAATTTTTTGCATTACTCTTCTTTCTTGCTTTACTTGGACCTGCTTCAAAAGGACCCCTCATTGGACATGTAGCTTTGTTGTGTCCAGTTTCATTACAAATTGTGCATCTGTGTTGAACACCTGTCCTGCTTATAGTATGCCTTGTATTCCCACTGAGTTCATTTTCTGCTTAGTCTCTTTTTCTTTTCACACATGGCCTACCAGGTAACCTCCTCCTAATTGGAGGTAGTATCTGGTGAACATCAGGCATGTGGGGCCACAAGGAACTATCATTCAGGGGATGTATGGTGTACTCATAGGCCCTAAGAAATGCAAATTTAGTAAACCACTCTGCAACATATTCCTCTGAATCAAGATTCAAAGAAGATATGGCACATATGGCATGTACACAATGGATTCCTGTCAATTGCCAACCTCTGCATCCACATTCTCTCTTCTCCAAGTCAACACCATACCTTTCATTACATTTCACAACTTCAAATTGTTTGTATCCACTAACATATGGTGCCCAGAATCTGTAAATATAAAAAGTTAGTTATCAATTGCATGTACAAAAAGTAAGTAAAAGTGTTTGTAACAACTAACCTTCTCAACTTCTTTAATTCACCAAGCTTCCTTCTGATATTTGGACAGATTGCTAAATTCCAGCCCAATCCTTTCTCTTTCTGCATGTACAATCTCTCCATCACAAATACCCTTATGTCCTCCAACATAGTGATCAATGGCTTCTTTCTAGCTTCTTCAATAGCAGCATTGAAGCTCTCAGAAACACCATTTTCCAGTGCATCACATCCCATTCCCACCTTAAAAAAGCCCTTGACCAACAGCTGGGGTCCCTTTTAATTAGATAATCATATGCCCCTACATCAAAGCTCTTGATATCTTCCATTGCAAGTTCAAAATTTTGAATTGTAGTTGCCTTTACAGCCCTCCAATAATGTTTAATGTAGCACTCACCCTTCAACTTTTTATGGAAGTTAGCAATGATGTGCCTAGCACACAACCTATGCTCAACTTTTGGACATCTTTCTTTCACAGCCTCCATTATACCTGTATTGATTTGGAATGTTAGTTTGTGTAAAAGGCAATTTTTGTAAAAGATAATTTGTGTATATATGTACCTTGTGTCCATCTGACATCAATGTGATTCCATTACCATTTCCCCCTTCATCTATGTCTTCCATTAGATTGTCCAAGAACCACTTCCATTTACTCTTGTTCTCAACATTTACTACTGCCCAGGCTATTGGGTATATGTTATTGTTGCCATCCCTGCCTACTGCTGAGAGGAGCTCACCTTTACATATGCCCTTCAGAAAACATCCATCTATCCCAATAACCTTCCTACACCCATCTAACCAGCCATCAACCACTCCTTTAAAACTCACATAAAACCTTCCAAACACCACAGTAGAATTACTTTGGGGCTGCACATACAGTTCAACATGAGATCCTGGGTTGGCCCTTTTAATCTAAGCTCCATAATCCCATAGCTTGGAATAATGATCCTTCAAATCACCCTCAATTTCACACAATGCAAATCTTTTTGCATTCCTATATTGTCCAACACTAACATTTATGTTGAATAACTTGGATACCATAGCTTTCATCTTCCTCAGACTCATTTTAGGGGACTCCAAAATATCAGTGACAAACTGTTTCCCTATCCACTTGTAGGTAACAATTGACCCAAGTTTGAATGCCCTTGAGCAACTATGGTCTTCTATGAGGGACTTTATTTGAAATGTTTACTCATCTTTCATCCAGGAAGCCCACAGTCTAAAAGGGCATTGTGGTCTTTTTCCTTTACAACACTTTACAAGCAACCTATCCTTGTCATTCTTCTCATAATACAAGTCATATCCATGTGCAACTGCATAGTTACTGAGAGATGACTTTAGTTCAGCAGGAGAAGAGAATCTCATACCTAGTTCAGGCTTCATCTTCCTCCATTCCTGAGTAGCATCATGCCTAGGGTAGACAGCTGGAAGTTCATTGCCTTCTTCATCTTCATCTGCAACAACTACTGGACATAACTTGTTCAAAAACTTATCATTATAGGTTCTTTTTAAGATTCTTTTTCTTGATGTAACAGATTCATCCTCTTCATGTTCACAGTTCTCATCATCTGCCAAAACAGAGTCGACATCTTCTTCTGAATACACAAGTTCTTCATCGTCTGGTTCTTCTTTTTGAATCCACACAAATATAGGTTCATTATCATGGTCAATATACACATCCACATGTCTGTTAGCATTTGAAGCCTCAAGAAACTCAGAGTAGTCACATTCATTTTGTAGTGTTTGGATCCCCTCACTCAATCTCACTTCAGGTATACAGTAATACACATGCTCGCACTGAAAATCGATAAGCTTCTCAACATATTTGATGAAATCGGAGAAAACAAACTCGTTTGCATCTTCATTCAGTCGTAGTACTTCTGGAGAAAAATACACTAATGGATTAGGCACAAAAGTACCATTATAGTGTAAATCGACTTTTGGAAAAGCTTGATTTTCCTCCATTGAATCAGAATGGTGTTTTGAGAGCAGAGAAGGGTGAGTAAATGAGGCACTGAGCAAGAACAGACTGTGAGAATAAAGACACTAGAACCCTAACTGATCTTCTTTTGTAAATGAGGTTTTTTTATAAATGAGGGTGAAAGAGGGTAATTTCCACGTAATTACCACGTAACTAAATTCATTTTTCTTAAACTCCCATAAAACACAAAATGATCGGCTTAACCGACATCAACCGGTAATAAGGACTTAATCTATACATAACAACAAGTTCAAGGGTAAAATGTGGACAAAAAAAAGTCAGGGACTAAATGTGTACAAAACGAATAATATGTTACCCTCTTAAGTCATTATCCCTTTATAATTTCTGTAATGGTTCGTACCAGAAGTGTTGATCCACAGATTGAGGGCGTAGGGACGTCAGGGACGAGAAAGGACCCCCATCCAATTACTATGGAAGCTATAAAGAGGCTTCTGTAGGATATGAATGAATAGAACCATGAAGAGATGAACATGTTTTTTGATGCACATTTGGGAGAGCTTGTTCAATCACCTCCAGAGATCCATGTGGTTTCACCTTCTATTGTGGGTGTACCATCTGTGGGGGGTATGCCATTTGTGATTGGTGCACAATCTGTTGCTGATGTATCCTGAACTCAAGCATCCTTCCATGTTGCTCTCCCTCAAGGAGATTCAAACATGGGTGTTCTTTTAAGTCATTTATGGCATGAAAACTAAGTAAGTATGAAGGAAGACATGATCTGAAGGTGACTATGAAGTGGATCACTGAAACTAATCGAGTTCATATGGATAGTGGTTGTCATGATGACCAGAAAGGATCTATGTTTATCAAGTGCATAAGGGTGAAGCCCTTATTGGGTGGGAAAGAGTATGTAAAACTTTGGGAGATAATGCGGAAGCTAATATTTCTTGGGAAGAGTTTGTCAACCGCATCAATAAAAATTATTGTGCTCCTTATGACATTGAGAAGTTGGTGGATGAGCTCTTTGACTTGAAGAATGGAGAGTTGACAGTGGAGCAATATGCGAAGGAGTTCTCTGATAGGATGCTATGTATAAGGGGTATTCTTCTGACCGAAATGGGTCGCATTAGTCATTTGGTGAAGGTTTAACTCGCTGATTATGAATTGGAAGTGAAGAAAGTTGATACTTTGGATGTTGTGATAGTGGTTGCTTACAACATTGACGTTACAATTGCAAATTTTAGGTTAGTTATAACTCCTATGACTAAGCAATATTATGTTTAAATATATATGTGCTAGACTTAAGGGATTACGATGCTAATAAAGTGTACAAACTTAGAGATGCGTTTGGAATCTCACGAAAATCTCCGATATGTGAACCGTCGTTAAACGAACACAAACGTTAGTCATTATATATAGGTAGTATTTGGATATATATATATATATATATATATATATATATATATATATATATATGACAAGGATTATTACATATATATGAAAGGCTAAACAAAGGGTTAACTAGAGAATATTGAATTGAAAACAATACCTATTTGTAGTCGTAATTACAAATTTAACATGAAGTCGTATTATACATCAGCTATATACTACAATTCGCAATATTTAATTGATTCTTGTATATAATAACCATTTATTTAATCCCTTGAAAACATAAACTCTTCTTTAAATATCAAACTAGTTCACTAGAAAGGCCCTCATTATATACCGTCTAATGTATACAAAAGTCAAGACCATAAAGTCAAGGAGTAACAATTTTATTACAAGCATGATTTAAAGTATTAAACAAATCAAAAGCAATCCAACCCCATGCCTATGGATTTTCGGCCATTATGCAATGTATACTAAAATTGAAGTGTCTTTTTCTTTACCCACAATTAGCTAATTGGAAACAAACCAATTCTTTACTCAAAGTGTACAAAAGGTTTGTACACAACCTTAAAATCATGCCATAAGATATTTCACTAGTTTTGGTGCCCTTTATTATGATTTCCAAGAAAAAAATAATTCTCAATATGTTGGAAAATATTATTTTCATAAAATAATGTTTTCCCAAATAAACATAAGTGTTGATATTATATATAAATAAACAAGTTGTAATAATAAATAATAAAATAGTAGTAACTTTCTATAAGGTGCGACCATATAGGATCATATGTTATGAGCAATATCACTCAATAATGACTCTTGGGCAAACAAGATATTTGAATCTTCTACATGCACAAGACTCATCATAGATTGATATAGACAATAATTCACTTTCCCCAATAACACACAACGAAGAATGTCATTCATCAATATCCAATTCCCAAAAGCTCACAGCTTGAATTGATGTATAAGGTAAATTTATTAGTTATCTCTTTGTTACAGACATTCTATTGAACATGAGACTTAGATCCTAATCAATCTTATTTTGGACTTGAACTTTGGGTAACATGTGTTAGATGTCTAACTCTCAACACATAAGAAGAACAAATCCCACCATGACTACATAACCTCTTGCGTAGTTCACATCATACTTGGAAATGGCTTTTATAATGGCTTGTTTAAGGATCAATATTTGACCATATCTAAGCACAACACTTCCTATACTTAAGTACCATTATGTATCTCATGTGTTAAGGATACAAATATATTACCTTTTAGTCAAGTATCATTCAAAACAACGATCTATGAGGTGAACTTGATGGGGTTTGTTCAGTACCATTTCTATGACAAGTACCTATGAATACTGGTTATGAGCACTTTCCTAATTTCATCTAGTGAGAGTCAAACAATCCAATTCATATTAGTATTACTTCATAGTTGTTCCCACAATTATAACCTACGATAAACTTTTAGAATAATGATATTATTCATGGATTAAATATATTAATATGGAACACAACAAGTATTGATTTGATGATCATAACCTAATATATCAAACGAATATAATAGTTGCTGTCCTATAGATGAGGTGTGACCATTCATACTTAGCTTAAAAGGAAGTACTTTATTAATGGTTCCAACTAAATTTAATTTGTGTAAATTCTGTGAATACTATCATCTCGATATTTTACAGTACTCTAAGTATTGTTAAATATCTTTGAGAATATGATTGGTGTTCTAATGTGACATAAAGTCTCTTAGGGGCTGTTTGGCAGAATCTGAATTTTTAAGATCTGAATTATTAAGAGATCTGAATTTCTAAGAGGGTCTGAAATTTTAAGAGCTGAATGTTTAACATGCTGTTTGGTTGGGACCTCTAAATTGCTATGCTGAATTATTAAAATGACCATTTTACCCTTTTGTTTTATATTTTATTGAATTCAACTATTTGTTTAGAAAATAACCTAATAAATTTCTTAAATACTTATTAATAAAAATATAAACACCATATAAAATCCAAATTTAACATAAATCAAAATTAAACACAAATCCGAATCCAACATACATATTTTTAAATCCACAAATTCATACTAAAATCCAAATAAAATCCTACAAATTTAATTCTACCCGAATTTATTCGCAATTTGGTCACGCAAATTATCCATGTATTCATTGCCTTGTGAACCCCATTCCATATCGTGTACGTTTTGGCCATCATTCTCTCCCCCTTGTGCTTGAGCATTGTTCTCCTCGAACACCATAAATAACTCATCATGAATATCGCATTTCCTTATGAAATTGTGGACTGCAAAACAAGCAACGACTATATCTCTTTGCACTGAAAAAGGAAAAGGATCCATTCGCTTTAGGATTGGCAATCTCGCTTTCAAAACACCGTAAGCACGTTCAATAACATTTTTGAGTTGCGCATGTGCATGATTGAATTTTTCTTCCTTAGGTAACGCACGTCGTCGTTGATAATCGGGTAACCAATACCTCGTGTTGCGGTTAGGAGTCATAAATCCACGAGTGTTGGTGTATGCATCGGAAAGGTAATATTTATCTTTAAACATGAGTGAAGGAAGTATTATATATAGAAATTTAAAATCGTATCTTAGAATAAATTTAAAAAGAATTACAAACTTGGATGAAGGAACGGAAAACCTGAGAGTTGGATGAAAAATGCAATTTCTTCATCCAAATCCATAAGAAATCTGTTATTTTGAAAATACATAACAATTATATTAACAACATATAACATAAAAATTCAACCAAAACATCAAGTCATTCATGTCATATAAAAATCTAGTAATCCAAAACATCAAGTCATTCATGTCATATAAAAATCTAGTTCAAACCAAAGATCAAGTAATCCAAAAAAACCATCTAGTTCAAACCAAACATCAAGTAATCCAAAAAAACCATCTTGTTCAAACCAAACATCAAGTAATCCAAAAAAAACCGTCTAGTTCAAACCAAACATCTAGTTATCCAAAAAAAACAATCAAAACATCTAATTAGCGAAACATTCCATAATGTGCTCCAACAGTCTTGACCCAATTCTCACAAATAGTTCGATCAATGGTTAACCACACGTGTCTCTTATCCACACCTTCACCAAAAAGAGCAACAACAGTAGTGTATCTTGGATCAAATATTCCCCATCCTAACTTCTGCAACTTTTCCATACCCGCACCCAAATTTGAAGACGCATGTGTTTCCACAAATATCTTAGCAACTGTGGCAATATCTTCCCCGATTTCAAGCAATCTTAAATTCGATGCATCTTTGCCCTTATCTTTACTTTTATTTTGACTATTTGCCGTATTTGTAGTCTTTTGTTTTTTTGATTGAGCGGATGACTCGTCACTGAGACCTACAGTTTCTTGTTGAGTGCAATCGATGTCATCAAAGTCATGCAAACTATAGTGGCTTGACTCTTGAGTAGGACGGGGAAGGGTAGAAGTTGGTCCCCAACTATGAATGTATGTCGCAGTCGCGCCTTCAAACAACTGTGTGCAAAGGTCGGGGTACGGTAGTGGCGTGCGTCTCAAAGAATCCACATGTTTGTTTGACTGTTTGGAAAAACTATTTTATTATTTAAACATGAAAATCTATTTTTTATAAATTAAAAAAA